GCGTTTAAAAGAGTTATATTATTAGTTGACCAAGTCAACATAGGGGTGTATGTTAAAAGTGTTTTATTATTATACGGCTTTTTGTTATTTATTACCGGTTTTATCTGGTTTTTCTTGATTATTCAATTTTTGGATTGTAAAAGTTTTTGTTAAGGATATATTAGTTAGTTAACACGATGTTACAAGAAAGAGAATAACTTAGCTAAAACCCTTCTCAATTAATGTGTTTAAAATAATTAATAAAAGTGGTTTTTTACAGGTCAAATTGTTATTTGAGAAGCAGCATATTCTGTGGGGTTTTTATATATGTATATATTTGTGTGTATATATTTGTATATTTCTATTTTCTGATGCCATTGTAAACATTCCAACAACTCTTTCCTTTGATTAGTGTTGTAGGAGGATTGAAACAGATTGAATAATAATATGTATTGAATGGAGTTAAAAAATAAACCACTGCATTACTATATCAAGTTCTGTTTCAATTAATTTTATCACTTCTACAATTTTGTCAGTGTTTACTACAGTTATTTAAAGAAGTTCAAATACTAGATGGAGAATAATGAGATGGAGAATTTCATTAACAATGCAACAAGAAGTTCCATTATCAGGTGTTAGATGACCTATATATAGTTGTTGTTTTTTTTTTCTCTATTATCTTTTTAAATTATCCCTGCTGTTATTATTATATTGTCTTTTCATCTATCGAAACCAATAAATTGCTTCAATTTTTGTTGCATTTTTTCTCAAAAACATTTTTTTCTAGTCTATCTCTTTTTATCAAGTATATTTGATGCATTTAGTTCACCCATTTCTTTTTAGAGCAACATTAAGAATAGCAGCAGTTGCAGTAGCAACTTGCAGCAGCAGTTGCAGTAGCAACTTGCAGCAGCAGTTGCAGTAGCAACTTGCAGCAGCAGTTGCAGTAGCAGTAGCAACTTACAGCAGCAGTTGCAGTAGCAACTTCAGAAACAGTTGCAGTAGCAGTTGGATTGCGTTATTGCATTGTCAATGCAATAGAGATTTGATAAGATAGTAATTCAATGTAAAAAACGCTATGATTGTAATTTAATTCTAACCAAATTCAATATTATAATGGATCAGATTCCCAGCATTGGTCTGGAAGGCGTGCAATCACATGCTATTATTGACTACGCAAATAATATTTTGTTTTGACAATTTGACCACATCTTTAAATATTTTAAAACCGCATTGAATATAAATTTTTTTCGAAATAAATAACGTCTTAATTAACTTAATTTAAATAACAATCTTGATTAACTTATATTTTTATATTAGCGAAACACTTTTAAATAAAGTAACAAATTACTAATAATTATTTGTTTGAAGTATTAATAAAAGTTACAGGCCTTGTTAACAAGCGCTATGCAGTTCACATTTCACTTACAAAATGGCAATTTGAGTACGAGCTTAGCAGTTTTACGTTAAGCAAAAACTATCTTTTAATATATTTAAATTATCTTTTAATATCATTTATGTGATGTTCAATCAAAAAGTATTAAGTTGTAAAAAAAAAAGCAATTAACTGCAACTGTGAACTTTTTTATTCAGAAACTTATTATTTTATATAATTTTTTATATGTTAAAGGGATGTAAAATATTTATTAACAAAGAAATTTTTTACATATAATCTGCTAATTCATTAAGTAAAACATAAGTCTCTCCGTCATATATTAAAATATGTACAAGCAGGTAAAAAAGTTTTTTTTTTCAATTTTAATAAACGGGGAAGTGTTTTTGTTTTTGAGAATTCTTTTCACAAATGTTTTTTAATATTTCTTGTTTTTTATTAATTCAACATTGTGTAAAGATTTTTTTACATTTATTTATGAACATACACTGCTGTTTCATTCAATATAAAAACAAGCTTGACGTCATGAGTTTATTAAAAAAGAAAGTATTTCCGCATAAAAAGTATAAAAATTCACAAACTTTAAAATAAAAGTATTCTTTTTCTCTAAACATTTTCATCTTCACATTTTCATCTTCAAATTAAAAAAAATATAAAAGATCTATCTTTCCTTGTTAAATAAGTAATTACATTAAACGGAATTAAAATAAATAATGTTAAAATACTTCCAATGATTTATGATCACTTTACTGATTTTTGCGACATTTATGAAAAACCTGTTTTGAGAAAACTAAGATTGCCTGACTTATCTTTGTTGACTGTTGAAACTTGGAACACTTTATGTGTTTCATTTACGAAAAGTCTGTTTTTAATACATTTACATTATAAAAATATTATTTTTAAATTCCAAACATAATATTTGTAATGGATGACATAAATTAATAGAATTTCAAATGTTTTATGCATATCAAAATCATTAAAATATATTATGTTTTTCTAGCTATGTCAGGCAATATGTTTTCAAACTAGTCATGTTTTGCAAATTTCTTTAGTAATTTAGGCGTAAATTTGTGTTTACATTTTTGAAGCGATGACATAAAACATAAAATGTTGAAACATTTTCTTTACAATTTAAATTTTTTTAATTCATTATGGTCTAACAATATTTATATTTGATAATAAATCTCTAAAAGATGTTTCCGGAGTGCAGTGGTTTCCAATGGTTCAAATCATACCACTTGCCAATTTTTTTTTGTTTTTTAAAGCTTTTGTGATTTTTTAAAATACAATTTAAAATTTTTTTGAAGTTCTATAGTTATTACATACAATTTCTAAAAACATCAAAACACCTGAAAAAATATGTTGCACATATGTATAATTATATTATTAATTCCCAATAAACTTAGGGTGGTCTGAAAAAAAAAAATAGTTTGAAACTTAATAAAGAAAAATTTTAACAAGCTCATTCTGCTACTCCAGAAGGTCCTGCAACATATTTTTATAGGTGTTTTGATGTTTTTAGAAACTTTAAGTTATTTTCAAAATTCTCTCGCTTTGTTATAATATATAATATCTTTTATATGTTATGTATGTAATATCTATAGAAAAAATTTTTGCAAAAGAAAAAAAACTGTTCATAGCTAGCAAAAACTTTGACATTTTATTTTAACAATTAAAATAAAAAGTCTTTTTTGCTATATTTATTTTTTTGCTAAAAATATATACGGTCAGATTAAAAAATTTGAAATTTATTTTATTTATTTTTTAAAATTTAATTCTATTTTAAAAACTAGAAGCCTTTTTTGCTAGAGTTTCCAAAATAATGGAAAATTATAATACGGGTTTTCGGTATTCAATATAGTTCAATAGCGGTATAAACTGGTAGTGAGCTGTATTTATAAAACATTTTAAAAATTTAGCCAAGTCATAAGAAAACTTGATAAAAGAATTTACAGATTTTTCTTTTTACATTTCCTATTTATTCTACTTTTCAGTATTTAAAATATCTAAATAGTTATAACTCAATAATATGATTTTCCGAAAAATAATATTTTAAAAATATTTATGCATTTAATATAACAAAATTCATTCAGCTTTGAAGCTTAATTAAAAAGTTACCAGCAAAAGAAAATGTTCTTTAATTGGATGTTGACATGGATGCTGTTTTGAGAACAGCATCAACCTTATTTAAATTCGCTGTTTAAACTCCACTTGCTTCAAACAACTTAAATTCCTTTAGTATCTCTGAAAATGAACCAGAACTACTAATTTAGGGTTAGAACGACACAATCTTTGTTAGAGATTGTTGTAACTGTATCTTCAGATTATTATTGGCTTCTTCAGCAACTTCTTCATCCAATGATTAGAGATAAACATTATTCAATAATTAGGTAAAATTCTGTTAAACTACATTTTTTACACATTGAATAATTGCTTACTTTGATGAATATTTGAAGTCATCGTTATTTTGTGATGTACTTTAATTGGGGTTTTGCAAATATATCATTAGTGACGGTAAATCTTTATTGCATTGCTCATCATAATGCTTTTTGAGTGAATAACTGCACTAAAACTAGTCGTTTGCTCAGAAAGATTTAAAAAAAAAAAACATGTGAACACTTTCACTGGTCAGAATCGTTGAGTTATCCTTACTAAGCTCCTTAAGAGCCAATTTGATAGGTTTTAATACTTTTAAAATATCTTTTAAAACTTTAAAATCAACTTCCTCATAAAAACTAATTTTTTCAATTGTCTGAAACTGATTTTTGAATGCAAGATCTCAATTTTACCAACTTTTCAATCATAGAAATCAAAGAGTTCCACCAAGTTTTATATTAAGTTTTAACATCAACTTTTTTTTTTCTTATTCATAAACATACTTTTGCAATATGGAGCTATGAATGGTTGACAACTTGAAAAATTTAATAAGTTTACATGAATTAAACAATATAGACTTGATATCATCTCTAAATGTTGTGTGGCTGCTTCCATGAGCAATTGTCTCATTTTAATGATATCATTAAAAATGTTGCTGTAATTAAATCTCTTAATATAAACATTGCCTTTACAGTAGAAATCTGAATCATTATCTTCTTCGGAGAAAAGATTCTGAAGAAGTCCTTCAAAGTTGTTTGTTAAATCACATTGGCATCTTTGTTTGATTCATCACTTAAACATCTTTGGCTGTTGCAAGTATGTGTCATTTTTTTAGAAAGCATCTTGTTTTCCAGCAGGCAAGGTATTACAAACTTAGAATGTATTACATACTTAAACATAATATAAACATGACTTATAATTAATAGAATTAGAATATTTAATTATTTGAAAATAAAAAATAATGTAGAAATAATAATAAAAAGATATCTTGGAGAAATTTTTGGTTTGTCATAATCTTTGGTAAGACTACAACAGGATTTTTTTTGGTAAAATAATGACAAGAATGTTTTTTTGTTTTGTTTTTTGGCAAGACTGATGAATAAAACAACATATGATACATTCACATGATATATTATACAACAACAGTTGTGTGAGACAACAAAAATGATTGTGATTTAATAGCATAATATAAAATGACATAATGACAATATATATATACTACTATAGACATTAAAAAAACTATTTAATTTACCATTCTTTCGCAAAAAGCTGTATATAACACAATAACATGAGCGGCTCTATCTTCAGCAATTGAGCTGCACAAAAGAAGACCTTCACAAGCTTTGATTGCTACTCTGCTGTCCTATAAAACGTAAAGAAAAATACTTAACTTAAATATAAGTACGACAATAGTAAAGAATGTATAAAATATATTTTGAAATTAGTTATATTTTCAGGATGCTTGTTTGTTATTTTCAGCTACAAACTCTTACAAATCAAGAAATAACATATTATATTAAAAAACTATATTAAAATTATTTATTACATTCTTATTATTAGTATTTTTACTATTAAAAAATTCAATTTTGCATATTAAATAAAAAAAATTTAATGAAAATAGAAACCAAGTTTGGTTTCTATTTTTAATCTTTAGAAACATGTTTAATCATTATATATGCTAGAATTTTAATTAGAATTTTAGTTGCATACAGTAAACTTAAAATTAGTTTTATATTTTTAATTCATCATTTGTCATGTCTCTTGTAAAATTCTATTGTTCGAGGTTCGTTTGTTAATAAACATTTGATTAATACATTGATATGGAAGCAACAGCTGAAACAGTGCATATGTTGATTTGTACTTTAATGTTGCATGATTTTTTTTTTTTGTTCTTAGTTTTGCTACTAACTAACCGAAATAGAAACAATTGATTTAGTATGATATTATCAATTTATTGAAACATTTAAAACAGAAATATTTCATCATCAGTCCCTTTTTTTTAATAGTTTAAAAGATTTGGCATCTGAAAAAAAATTTACTTGGCACTAATAGAGGTTTTGAAATTGCTCCAAATTTTCTTAAGAAGTTATAAAATACCTTTATTCAAATGTTTTTGTTTATAGCATGCAGTTAACCACATGCTTAAAATATGAAATATTGTATGCGCATATCAGTACATTCAAGCTTTCAAGCTTACCGCAACCCAGAAAATCATCATAATTAATTTTTATGGAAAAAAAAAATCAAATCAATTATTAATTGTTTTGAAGCTTTAACTAAACAAAGGACACTTCAAACAATTGCTTTATTATATAAACATTGTCAAAACCTCTTAAAAATAGAATCATTTTCTTTTTACCTACAATAATTAAGATGATTTTCTAATCAATCCTAATACATAAAACAAACCAATAATCATCAACAAGAAAGAACAATCATTTTCAGATTGATATTTTAAAAGCTGAAACAACAAAATTATATGTTTACCTCGCTTTTTGTTAAAGCCAGCAAGGCATCAACCAAACTGTACTCAGGCTGTTCACGTTCATTGTTTAAAGATGTGGTAGTTGAACTGTTTTCTGCACTTTCCTTCTAATTCCATAATTAAAAAAAAAAATCATAATTTATTTAAATACTTTTTTTTTTGAAATATTATATTATTTATTTGCAACTTATATTATAAAATATCTACACATACTTTTTTTTGCATGTATATAATATTATAAAATATTTAATATCGTTAGGCAATTTTTTACAACTCTTACTTACATTAATCTTTACAACTCTTACTTACATTAATCTTTTTTTTTTTTTTTTTTTTTGCAGATCAGGACTGACAATTTTTATTTCAATACAATCACTTAAAAGATTACCATTCAAGATTTACAAGTTCCTCCTAACCTTACCCACAATTAAGTTTGGAGATTTTGTTTTTCCTAGGTAACTTTATATAGTTTGCCTTCACCATGGCAAACTATATAGAGTTTCTATATATATTGACTAAATCTAAAGATAATTAAAAACTACTTTTTCAAATTAAATTTTTTATTTGTAAATAAGACCAAAAACAAAGTTTTAAATGCTTTATTTGGATTTATTCATACTTAAAATCCAAAATACAAATACTTTAATTACTCCAATAAAATTACTCAATCCTGATTTTTTATTTATTTGCAATTCAGATTAACACATCTGGAGGTAAATAATTGGTTGAATTCTTCCTTAGTATCATATTTAAATAAGAAAATGGCATTACAAAAATATGTCCAAATCGTAGAAGTATATAGTATATATTAGTATAGGCCTTTTAACTCTAGCTTCCCACCCTTGTCATTAAAATTAAATGCCACCCTAATCTTATCTTTATTCTACCAATCCAAACTTGTTAACAGTTGCAAAAATAAACTATAAGGTTTGGGTTTAAAAGTAGAGAGTTGCAAAAAAAACAACTGATTCTGGAAAATTAAACTCTGGAGCCTTGTTGAGAAAACAAAAAGAAAAAAGTAAATTAAATCAAGTACATTTTAACAAAATGGTTTTAACTAACAACCACAGCTTTTAATTACAAAATGATCGTATAAAGGAAAATCAGATATTAGGAAAAACCTTTGATTAAATAATAAAAATTGATTATGTTAAAAAAATGCAAAATACCAGTATTGGTAATATTTCATATCAAAATTATAGTTAGAGGAGATATTCGTAAAAAAAATTACATAGTAAGGCACTGGTTTTGAGTCCTTTTACTATTGATCACCCATATCATTAACCAATATATCTAACACTTTTCCAGATTTGAAAATATATTAAAACGATTCTCTCTTAAGATAAATTATTAAAATACCATTTAATAATTAAAAAATCATAGTTTAAACTATCATTCTGCCAAATTAAATTACAGATTTATAATACAGTACGAGTATCTCTCTGATTCAAACTTTATGGGTAAAAAATAAACTTGAATTAAAGAGATTTTTATATTATAGAAAGTTGATTTTTTACAGTGTTTTATCATGACATAGCATTTAACCAAATTATGGAGGTTTTCGAATTGATTGAAAAAATGAGATTTGAGATTTGAGATTTTGAGATTAGAGAGATTGGACTGTATTTAAAATACTTTAGAATTGTTGTATATAATATTATCATTCATTTTTACATTTATCTGGAATAGCAAAAATTTAAAGATATATTTATAGGTAACTTTACTGGTAGTTATACTTGTAAATTTTGAAAAATTTTTAAAATGATATATTTTAAAAGTTAATCTCATAAATGATTACTATGGCAATTTGAAAAAATAGAGAATATCCCATAAATACAGAATATACTAAAAATGCTTATTCAAAAAATTAAAATTTACTGGTGAATTTATTAGTAAATTTTAAAATCAAAGTTTTAAAGTAAACATAAACATATAAATGTAAAGATTAGATGCAAAAACCATAGAAAAAATGTATTTATGATACTTATGATTGCAGATTAAAAAAACATAAATAAAAAAGACTTTTACAAAATTAAAGATGTTCCTAAAGAGATAAAAAGAAAGTGCTAAAGTGATAAAAGACGACAAAAATCTAAGAAACTTAAGCTGATGTAGTAAACTTTATATTAAAAAAAATTATCCATAATTTTATCCACAAAACTTCGCTAAGTATAGTGAACTTTATCAAGTAAAAATTTGTGTAAAACTTTTAAATTAAACATTGTGTAAAACTTTTATAAACCTGCAAAAAAAAATTCACAAGTTGAGAATCTTGTTTAAGCTTTGAAGATACTTGAAGTAAGAACTGGACTTCCTCAGATTCTGTAGGAGCAGCTTTTACAATTCCACAAGTCTTAATCATTTTCTATAAATAGAAAACATTTATAAACAGTTAAAGTAAAATGTAGTCAAATTGAATAACATTAAAATAAAATTAAACTAAACAATACAAAAAAAAAGGTCAAACCAAACAACATTAAAAAAAAAAAATTAAAGCTGAGTTTGAATTTACAAAAAAGATATATGCCTAGTTGTTGACCGAAAAAAGCACAAATGCAATTGCTCTGAGCATTTCTAAGAAAAATTTTTTAGGTACTATTAGGTATAACATATCTTTTTTTTTCTATCCAAATTTTTTTAAATAAATTTTGAAAAAAAAAAATTTTTTGTTGATGGGCAAGTTTAAATGCTTTTATAAAACAAGAGTGAAACTTATATACTGCTTAGTTTGACACCGTTTTATTTGATTTATTATTATTTTTCAATTATTAAAAACAAAAAAAAAAAAACTTACAATAACTGGTTTATGAACGTTGACATGCGGCAATATTTGTTGTTTTGTTTTTCCAAGTAAATTTGTAAAGAAATGTAATACTTGTCGCTTCATACCTGCAGGACACTAGGATCAAATAAAAAGGAAGTAAAGAAAACTATGTTTTTAACAAAAACTGTTAACTTCAATTGTGTTTTTGATTATGATGAACTGATTATTATTAATGATAAATGAAAAGATTTTAAAACTAGTAAATAAGAAGATATTTATCAATAAAATCTAATATATAATATATAAATCTAAATTCTAATATTACATATATATATATATATATATATATATATATATATATATATATATATATATATATATATATATATATATATAAATATATATATATATGTATATATATATATATATATATATATATATATATATATATATATATATATATAATAATAATAATAATAATTATTATTATTATTATTAGACAGCATATAAATAACATGAAAAGCTATATAAATTCTCACATCTGCACAACCAAGCGTTTGCAAAGTTTCTAGTATTTTCTGCTGCAGCATGAACTCCATTGCTGGTCCCTAAAATTAAACAACTCTGAAGTTCAACATAAAAAAAATTTAAATAACTAAAATTTAAATTATAGTTATAAATTTAAAAAGTAAATGTAAATAGTTTAATATAAAGTAATTAAATCAAACTAAACTTCGTTTAAAAAATTAAATCAAACTAAACTTTGTTTAAAAAATTAAATCAAACTAAACTCTGTTTAAAAAATTAAGTTAAATTCATTAAATTTAAATAAATTTATATATATGCATGTATAAGGGTGGGGTGAAATTTTTTTTTCTTTAATATGAATCCTAAGAGCTAGTTAAAGTAGTGCATACAGTAAATGTATAAAATTTCTTAAAAAAAACTTTTTTGTGTTTTAATTTTAGTATGCTTGACTATCTGATACATTAATGCACTCTTCTACAAAAAAACATGTAGTTCTTAAAATACACTAATACACCTAAGTTTTAAAACATAAAACTCAAGTTCAAAACTTTAAGGTATATAAAACATCTGTTATTTATTCTGTTTAAGCATTTTGCATAGGTTTTTTATTGCTTATCATAGCTGCCTTTTAAAAAGTAAACCAAGAAGTTACAAAATTTAACAGAAAGTCCAAAGAAAAGTAAATCATATTTAAAAAAAATAGTGTAGCACCAGCTACTACTAAAAATAGTGTAGCACTAACTACCACTTTCTATAATGATAAAAAATAGTGTAGCGCCAACTACCACTTTTCTATAATGATAAAAAATTTAAGATGACAAAAAAAGATTATCATCTTTGAAGAATGTATAAAATTGCCACAAAACAGACATAAGTATCCACTGTGAGTGCACTGGCATATATTTGCTTATAATATCACAGAGCAAACAAAACAAGACAACAAGCTTTTTGAAAGAACATTGAACGGCAGATTATTACTTTCATTGGATTTGATGGGAAATTTGATAAAAATAGAAAAGTATCTTTATGTTACAAAAATAATGAAGTTTGAAAAAAAAAACCTCATGCAATTGTTTTTTTTTTTGGTGCACTTTAATCAGAAAAGGGTTTTGAAATTATTTCTTGCATCACAGAAAATAATTTCTGTTTTCAAAGAATTTTATAGAACCTCTGTAAGCTTTAGTTGCAGGTGTAATCATTACAGTAACTAATAAATGGCAATGAGATCCCATTTAAAAAAGTATTTAAACTGAAAGATTATTTAAATACAGAAACAGCAATACTTGAAATCAATTTAAGTTGATGTTCAACAAATACCAATAATAGCTAATTATGGGATTAGTTGCACCATAAGCTAAGAATTTTTGTTAAAAAACTAAACAAAGATCAAAAATATTTGCTACATGCCAGTCTAATTGTTGCAGGTTTCTTCTGAAACTGACGGTAGTAAAATATAGTGTAAATATAGTAAAATAAATAAATAAAGGTGTATAAAATATGCAGAGCCTGGGAATATACATCATGACAGATGGCATACAAGAGCCAATAGAACCTTGCACTATTTCATATCACAAGAAAATCCAACAGTTAAACTTATCCTCTTGATTGATTATATTATTCAAGTGTATGCTCCATTGTAGTTTGAGATAAAAAAGAATTGTTTTAATAGTTCCCAAATTTTTTTACTTTATGGACCAATGTGGACCAATATGTTGCAAAAATATAAGACTAAAGTGTTAAAGATGTGGCACAATCTACTTTTCTAAGAAATTCACATTTATACCACCCAGAGAATACTTTATTAAATTCAATTTCTGGCACAAACAACATAATTAAAAAGCAGGTAGCTGAAATTATAATTGATGCAAAATAGAGGGCTACTTTAAACTTAGATACAATTAAATTATTTTGTTATCACAACAAATTAAATTTTCTAGCTGATAACTAAATTTCGATAGACTGAAACACAAATTACCCCACCCCCTGATTTTAACAAATCATTTAATATCAACAACTATTTTAGACTTTCTTGTCATAGCCAAAGGTTAGAAAGGACTGAAAGAAATATTAGTTTTTCTGAAAAGTTCAACACACATCATAGAAGACATGGAATATTAATATCCATTCAATAATCAAGGAAACTAAACTAAACCTTGGGGGAAAAAACTTATCTATAGACTTTCTATAAATAAGTTCTGTTTGTTACAATAAAAAATAATGAGGTAATTTTCATAAAAATCAAATTGGAACTTTTAAATTTAAATCACTATGAAAGGCATGTTTTTTGGGGGAAGTATTATATAGGCTTTGTCAGGAATGGTGAGTTATAGCTCATTACCCATGTAAATCAGATTAAACTGAAAAACAAACCCAGCACAGAATATAAACTTTTTGTGAAAAAAATGTTGAATATGTTGATGGTTTTATTTATTTATTTTTTAAAATCTTCTCACATGATGCAATTTACACATGGATGTCTTTTTTTAATTAAAAATAAAAAAATTTAATTTAGCATGTGATAAAATAAAAATTTACTTGATTAGTGTAAAAAATAAAAAACAAAATCTAACAATTTTTTCAAACAGCAAAAACTATTCTGTATAATTATTCTGTATTATATTTTAAGTTAGTTAAGCAGGCAAAAAAAAGTTCAACATCTTTGAAAAACTATTATCTTAACTTTAAGAGTTTCCAAATCATTAAATGAGTTAAACAAATTTATTAAAACTCTCTCACTTGTTAATACTTGTCAAAATTTTCATATTTGATAAAACTTTTTTTCACAAAGAAAAAAAGAAATGGATAAACTTTTGTAGTAAAATGTAGAAAAATGATCAATACATTACAGTACATCCTCTTTATAAAATGACATTATACTGTATGTCGTTTTATAAATAGTACTGTAATCTATTTTTTTACTAAAACAATTGATTATAACATTTTTATATTATTGCATATTTATTTAATTAATAACT